CTGAGGTTGTTGATGTTTCTCCCTGCAATCTTAATTCCGGTTTGTGATTCTTCCAGCCTGGAATAATATGGAAGCCATGTAATATAAATAAGGCAGTAGAAGTTATGAACCAGTGCTAAGGCAGCATAATAGATTGAATGAGGGCCAATAGATTCAATTAAGAAAAGACGGATAAGTTATGATATTTGGCTGAATGTATAAGCTGTTCTGGAAGACATACAATTTTCCATAATATATGTGAAAGTGATGTTAGATCCATCATTGCCAGTAGAAGTACTAGTGATTTGGGTATTCAGAGCACTTGATAATCAGCTAAGTCTGATACTGATCTTTTCTGTTCCTGGAAAGAGGGAATACTGTGATGGCTCTGTTTATCTCCCATTGTTCTTGCAATTACTCAAAATAGCCTGGAAACTTTTAACTATTCCATGTATATATTTTTATACTGGCTGCCAGTATGTTTCCAGACACATTTCACACTGTTTATTTTGATCATCAAAGTTCCTGAGGATTTGAGACCACGTTACCTTAAAGGAGGAGGTTCTCTGATATTTACCTCCTAAGCTGCAAGAACATCATTTGAGATTTCCTCCATGTACAGTACCTACAACTCATTCAACAAGTGAGTCAGTCAGTAGCTCCAAAGGAACAGGCATGCTAATAGAAGCACCAATCCAGAAAGGCTCATCTGGAACTTACATAGCATTTTCACTTCTTCAAGCATACATATTAAGGAAAGAATTGCTTGGGGTTTTTAAAAAATGATTTTAGGTTTTATACCTGATACAGATTTTACTTTCATCTAGGGAAATCTTACTGTTTTATGTCTTACCATATATTTTATGTTTTTAAACTGTATGCTTCTAACAATTTCTGGTCTTACTAAGTAATCCTAAACTGTGCTTAAAACTGCTGTTTCTACAATGACCACTGCAGAACAAGAACTTGGATTGGTTTCCTCGGATGCGAGCCATGTCCCTGGTCAGTAATGAAGGTGAAGGAGAACAGAATGAGATTCGATGTCTACAGGATAAACTGAATTGCACTATGAAGTTGGTATCCCATCTCACTTCACAACTGAACGAGCTGAAAGAGCAGGTGATCAAAACATCTGATTTTTCTTTTTACTGGACTGTATATTTTTTTCAAATCTTAGAATGAGCTAGGATTGTGTTAAGCATTTTTAAAGGACAAAAAGATGTCTCTTATTAAAAAATGATTTTTCTGACTTCAGAAAAACATAGAACACTCATTTGGTTTTCTGACAAACCCTCAGGTATAATGTCAGAAATACAACTTACTATCCAGGAAATAGCAAGCTTCCTCACAACTCTAAGTTTCAAATTATGTTTTCCATTTTCTTGCACCAAACGCCCAATTCATTTTATAATCTACGTAAGACTTGTCTTTGGTGGAAATCATTTATCATTTTTTTTTAAATAGTTGTTTTTGGAATAGTTTACTCTCTGGTACAAAGTATAGCTGCAGTGGATTGTAGATATTTCTTGAGGATATTTATTTATACCAATAACCTGTATGAAGTGGGGACATACCCAAGAAAGGGTTTAGAAATGTCTGCAACAGCTGTTACCGCAGACTATCTGATGAAGTAATTTGTAGCCCAAGAATTACAAACTAGATATAGTAAATCCTTACTTAGAAAACCCAAGAACCATATTTTAACATTCCTTTTTTTTAATACAAATTTCAGATGACGGAGCAAAGAAAGCGGAGGCAACGAATGGGTTTTGTGGATGTTCAGAACACAATGAATCACTGAGGGAGCAGAATCCAAGTCTTCAGACTAAAACTGTATATATATACGAACTTCCTGAAGAGGTATTGATACTAGGTTCCCTGCAAAACTTTCACTGACAAGGAACATTGGTCCATGCCATGATAATTCATGAAATCTCAGCACTACCTTTTATTCATCTCAAGCAGGATTGATTGAAGGCATTTAATTCAGCAAGAAACATGAAGCCACGACTAATTGTTTCTTCATATGCATTCAGTTGGCCATACCTTTGAAAGGTTTTTCCCATTTTAACTGGTCCTTCTCCTTTTTTTCCCTTCATGCACTACATTTTGATGGCTACATAGCCAGGTGCAAATAGAATTGACAGTTACCAGTGAGTAATGGTTTGTTACCTTTTTTAACTTATTCAGATACATGGAAAGTCACCTTTTATGGATTTCTCTTTGCAAGTGTCTCAGGTTAAGGCTTTTGGAGACAAGAAAATTTTGGGTATAGAATCTCATCTCAGCCAAGAAGAAATTGCAAGAAAATATTCTATTAAGTTAATAGTTCAAGTAATCATATAATAGATTTCATGAAAAGGCTTTTTTCCTTCAATTGACAAGACTGTGGACGTTAATGAAAGATTGCACGTTCATGCTGCACTATTAATGTGCAAATTGTGCCTTATTCACTTAATAGAATAGCATACAGTGTTCTTAGAATCATCCTGCTTCCAGGCACTAAGATTTTGGGGGAAAATATTTCAACTATCATGGATACTGTCAGCAGTATCAGTTATAATTAGTGTGCTTCAGTGATGGCATGGAGCTGCAGAAAAAATGGAAGAAAAAAACCCCAGTAGGGCTACAACTATAAAAGTAGGGCTACCACTATAAAATATGAACTTAGAAATTCCTTGACAGAATAACTTGCTCCTCAGAATTTAGAACATTTGTATGATAAGAAAAAGCCCTTTGTAAAATCTACTTCTGCAGGCTGCTGTCAAATTTAAGCAAAGACGGACAACAGATGCTGCATACATCTGACTTGATTGTGGCCAGTTTGGTCCGTTAGTGCTAGTCTATTGGGGAGACTACAAACAATCAAGGAACCTGTTTCATTCACATTTTGGACTGAAGCAGACCGTTCTCCAAATATACAGACTGCTGTGCAGATTTAGGAAGAAAGATTTCACTAATCATAGATCCAGCTTCGCAATTTATCTTGATCTGGTATGTTTCTCAAATACTGTTTAAATGTTGATATGTGAACTTCCTGAAGTTTAACACACAAAATCAGTATAATAAATGGAAAGCAGATGAAGCAACAGCCTCTTGGTAATGTTGGTAACTTCATAAATAGCTGCCCATGTATTTGGGACCACTTTGTTATCTCACTGATTTCACAAGCAGCAGCCACAGGACAGTTCAGAAAGAAGCTTGTCCTGACAATTCAATTTTGCACAACATATGGCAGATTTCTTTCCCCAGAGTAAGTGCTGCCTTTCCAGTAAATAACACAAAGGCTAATTAACAATAAGAAGCCACACATGTCTTCCACAGAATCCCAATGTTAAATTTTTTTGGTGTGTTTTGAATTCTCAAAATACATGAACTACTCTGTTAGGTTTCAACAAATCAGTTGCAAGATGACATTCACGAATGCAGATAGGTAAATACCTACAGAATATAACTATATCATTTCCTGTTCTTCAAATATAACTTTGGACTTCTTAATAGTCTTCATAGCCAATGTAGTCAAATGGAGCTAGTTTATCTCATTTCAGAAGAGCTTTCCATTGTCTTTTGTTGGTACACAAGAAGGTTTATCTATACTGGCAAAAGCAGTGCTTTAGGAAACTGAGTTATTATTTGGAATCTTCTTTATGACGCTTGGCAGAGAATTTTTCACGTAACCTTTTCAATTTTCCGAACTTTCCTTCTTCCAGCTGCTTCAGTTGTTCTGCAAACAGTAGTAGTTGAATAAATTAAGAAAATACTTTCTAAAAAATAAGTTTTATATTTCTGCTTACTGATTTAAAAGATTGCTTCACAAAATATAGGTGGCTAATGCACTTCTTCCAGCATGCAATTGGGAGCCACAACCAATTTTACCTCCCTAATCCATATGCCTATGCAATCCATACAGTTGAAAATTCGCAAACACAAGAAATAATCCTGTTTTAAGGTACACCTTAAAAACCCTAAGATGCAAAACATTAGTTTCCATCTAAATTAGTTTCTGCTTCATTGCCTGAGGCAATATATTTTCTTTATTCAGTACAGCATTTCTACAGCCAGGGAAAAGTAACATTTTCTCTACATATTGAACAGAAGCCTACAATTTAGCTCCATGCCACTCCAAAGGCATTTTAAATGCATTCTATTAATTTTTGGGGGGGTATAAACATACACAAAAATTAAATCATTATGATAGAAAACTCTTGAATGATAACACCTAACTTTTAGCCTTAGTCTCTATATAGTATATCCTATAGAGAGAAGGCATTATACATTTAGATCTGTCCCTCACATCTTTTTGACCCAAAGCAGAAGAAAGTCAGTGGACAAAATATATGGAATTCCTGTTACAGTTCTTATACTACATGTTAGTTTTTGGCTGAGCCTCATTAGCTCAGCATACATACATTTCTTTGGGGTTCTCAGATATGGCAATGAAATACTGAAAGAGTTGTATGGAATGATATTATATCATTGTGCCCATTGGATTTCAAGTCATGTGACCTTAAATGAAAGAAATATGGAAATAGCAGGTGGAGTTATAGAGAATGGCTTGCTCCATTAAGCTTATAGTAGCTTAGAAGATGGCATGCTGGCACCTTGAACAAGGGTACTCTTCTTATGTTTAATGACTCATTGCATTTTTTTTTTTAAAGATGGACTTGTATCTATTTTTTAAACTGTTCACAGCTTCTTTGGATTAAACATAGATCATGGTATACTACTTTACGTCAATGTGCAACTCACAGCTGCTAAGATTCAAAGCTCAATGAGGGGCATTGAACCTGTCCTCTATAAGTGCTTTTAGAATATGCTTGGATTCACAGAAGAGCTGCTGTCAGGAAGGAAAGAATTATTGGCAGCAAATTCTTGTGTGGAAAAGAACCCACATGGGAAGAAAGGAGAAGGGTACAAAAGACACTAGATTTATGCCAATAAAAGTTGCTGCCCCAGCAAATAGGATCAAGCAGTTACTAGCCAAAATACCTGTTGCAAGGACCAACTTGCATTCCTCCACTGGCACTCCAGAGAAGTTTGTATCTCTCAGACGTGGATACTATTCCAAAAAGAAAAACAGACATATAAATTCACACCTCCTCTTATCTTGCCTGAGAACAGTGTTGTTATTCTTCTGACAAGGTAATATACCACATGCCAAGAAATGAAATAAATTTGTTAGGTGCTACAGTACTGTTATGGTCATTAAGAATTAGACTTTGTGCATACATATATATTTTACATTTTATTTTCAAAGATCATACAAAATTTTAGAGGAACAGGTTTGTCTTTTTCTTGAGCTAAGACTATGAACAGATCTAAACAGTCTGCCTAGTATCAAGATTAGAAAACTCTATCTAGAGAGAACAGTCACCACATAATCATATTTTACCACAATGGCAGAACTCACCTTATTTCTATAATAGTTAGTATGGATTTTGGCTAAACTTTCAAAGATTTCATCACAAGTCACTGGGTCGGCAATCTGCAAGAACAGATTGTAGAAAAAAAAAGGAACTGAAATCTTACAAAGTTCATTACAACACTTACATTAAAAACAGATTATATGTTCTTAAAGTTTTAGAAGTTTCAAAATGTACACCAAATTTAACCGCTGCGCCTATTCAATGGAGTTATCAAATTGAAAATCTTCCTGAAATGCATGTAATATAAATCCCATGTGTGAGTTTCATTTATTTTTCAGTCTTCTACAGATCAATGTATATAATCTATAGAAAGAGTAGATGTGTGATTATGGAGTAAACAGCCCTAAAATATGCCCACATAATGAACATAAGAAAAAAAAATCACTGGGCTATGGAATCCAGTATCATAACCGATGCCCATGGTGGACAACACCAACATCTACAGGCCCACAAGTGCTGGATCCAGGTCCCGTCATCTTCCCAACATATTTTGGCTTTAGAATATGACACAGTGATAGATTTTGCAAAATCTTGATGCCAAAATGCCGCCTCTCTGTTCTCCATTGCACTGAGGTGCTAGGAGCTCTCAGGGCATTGGATATTATCTCCCTGCCTCTGGGCAGGGAGAAACTTTCTCAACATTACATGTGTTTTCATTATATTACAGTACCAGAGATAGGAAAAGAAACTCTTTCACCTTACTCATGAGAAAATGTTTCCACGATGTTTAAAAACAAAAAGTCTTGAAGCAGCGTGCCAACTGGAGACCCACAAGTCCTCCCTGATCCCGAAATGACAAACACTCTGAGGCTTCCCTTAGAGCCAACTCGCGAGCCTGGCTCTTAAGCACTTAATCCCCATTCATAAACTGGTAAGGAGACCAGTGGAAAAAGGGCACGTCTGAACCTTTCACAGCCGCCTACACAGGAGCGCCTGCCTGCAGCGGAGCCCTGCCGGAATCTCTGTTCCGCGCACAACCATCCAACAGGGCGAGAGCACATCCCCCTCCTCGCTTTGGCCCGGGACGAAGAGGCTGCGTAACTGCAAGGTAAACGACCTTGGCTGTCGCCAACCACCCAGCCAGCCCTTACAGCGCAGCCCCCTGACGCTGCGGCCCAACGTGGGTCCCACCTGGGTGTTCTCTCCCTCGCGGAAGGCTTGCATCACCCTCTGCCGCACTACGGCGCCCAAATCGCGCCCGCGCTTGGTCTCCTCCACGGGCCACTCCTCACAGAGCTTCAAGAAGCGCCGGTAACGCGCCGCCGCCATCTTGGCGGCCGTTTGCCCGGCGCGATTGGCGGCGGGCCCACGTGGTCTAGCCCGGGCTGACTACGTCACTCGGTTTTGGTCTACGAAGCTGGGCGGGTCTATTCCGTGTGCCCGAGGAAAGAAGATTGCGCCTGTGCAAAGGGAGTAGGCGCTACCAGCATGAAGATCGCCGGAATGATTAAAACTAGGGGATGCGTAGTTTTAATCACCGGGATCACAGTGGAAAAGGCACGGGAGAAATGAGAAATGAAATCAGAAATCGACCAGGGTAGCACCGTATTAGACTGGGACCAGTGACCTTGAGCATTCGTGCTCTAACTCAGTGTTTCTCAACTTCAGCAACTGGCTGGGGAATTCTGGGAGCTGAAGTCCACGCTTCTTAAAGTTGCTGAAGTTGAGAAACGCTGCTCTAATCCAGGACTTATCATTAAGCATTTGAAGAATAGCTCTGCCAGTGCAAATGGCATTGCAAATACAGGCTGAGAGACAGGCCTGTGCAAAAGTTTTAGGCAGGTGTGAAAAAATGCTGTAAAGT